TTTCTTCCTCCCTTCCTGAAAGGGGGACAAAAAAGAAAGAAATTTCCCCAGTCCCATTCAGATCTAAATGTACATTACCCCAGGAAAATCACCATGCTATCTTACTTTAGGGGGTCCTACTATCATGTGACCATGGCTTTAGTAGAAATAATAGGAAGTGAGGTCTGGAAGGTCATTAGCAAATATTAAAAATTATTTAAAATGACACCAATATTATTGGGTACATAATTAATGCATAAACATTTTGATTCTCTATCTTTCAATATAAGAAACAAAAGATAGGGGTTATCTTCCAGGATAACTAACAATTTAAAGCCCATGGTTATTATTTTCTACTCTGCTATCATAATGCTCTTGCGATGAGCATTTGTAAGTACGTATACACAAAAAAAAGAAAGACACTATAAATTTGCCTGAGTCTTTTCTACCAAATTGGTTTCCCACAATTTGGGGGTAAATCAATTTTGTGTTGTGGCTCCTTTCCATCTATCTTGATGATAGAAAAGACTGAGACTCTAAAAAGGCAGCAGCAGAAAAATCGATTGTTTCTCTACATAGAAGTATTGCAAAAAAAATTAAAATATGGAAGGTCTTGATTCCAAAAGGGTAATTCTACCTAAGGTAGAAATTAAGAAAGACTAAATCTAGTCAGAGCTTAAAATCACTTTGATGATCTATTAAATTCATTCATTCATTAAAACACAATGCCACCCCCGACTTTTTTTTTTACTCCCCCCACTTTTTAATCCCTAAAAAGTCAGCTCTTTCATACCCAGGACCTACACCAAATTATAATTTAGAATAGTATTTATCTTTATAAGTTGTAACTAGGATAAATGCAGTATGTTTTCATAGTCCATATATTCACAATTGTGCTGCAATCAACAGAAGTAATGCAATTCCATGAAATGATGGGATAGGTGAAATAATTAAATACATGACGCTAGTGCCTATTAATTTAACTCATATAAACACAAAATTTTAATTATTACTACCTTTTTTTTTTCTTTTTAAAAATCTAGTTTTAGTAAATATTGCTTCTTGGGGAGTACATATTACTACTTTTAAAGCAACATTTCATAATGTGATTTGAGCAAAGTGACTTTTAAAATATATAATATACACATATATATATTAAATTAAATTATCCTGATTGACACTCAATAACATTCAACTGCACTAGAAAAATGCTTACCTTCTAATTTAGTTTCCCTGTAAAGCTGAAGCTAAAAAATGTTTTATTTACTGGCCAAATTTCTAGATGTCTGTACTCAGCCTGCTCAGTAACAAGCTGATGCTAATAGCCTGTACATAAAGAATCTACTTATTAAAATACAAATTAGATGCCCCTTATGCTTATACATGTGTAACTACAATTAATTCTGCAGGCTTAGTTGGAAACAAAATTGCTTTAGTTAACTAACCATTGCAATGCAATCAAATGAGATTTCAAATGCAACTGGAAAAGACCCGTTAGGTAAAAATAATAGCAATTATTTCATGCAGAACAATTAATTTCCCAAGCTCTTTTTCCCTTCTGCAGCCTGCCCTTGATAAAATAATTTGTCCATCATAAGTGACAAGAAATGTCACCTTTAACATTGGTGAGTTGCATGGAGACACGAAAGGCAGCTGGTAGACATAGCTTATTTACAAATATTGGTCTGAACTTGTAAATGCATGACTGCATAAATCTTAATCCATTTAGAATGTATGCCCTTTGTGCCCTCAGTGGTACATTCAGCTGGGAAATGAGTGGAGCCAAGGGGCTGTGAATGACATGATCCCTTTCTTGTTGCCAGCATTTTAGTACTTTGCCTTTTGTTCTTGTCGTTCATGAGGTTTCTCTACGTTACACAGTAGGGAATGGTAATCAACATTTTGCCTAAGTAATATTAAAAAACTTGCTTACTTATACTTGAGGGAAGAAGCAGAATATTATATTTCTTTTGAAATGTTAATGTACTTTTTAGGAAATTATTTCTGCCTTCTAAATCATCTTAGTATTCAATTATTAAAGGATGGCATTAAAGAAATATTGCACTGATACAAACAGTTAAATACCTTAAAAGATAAAAGGCTTATAAAGTTTAAAAGGAGGACCTTTTTGAATATGGTGGCATTTAACTCCAAATGAAACGCTTTTAAATGGTAAGATATTGATAAAATTTGCAACTGTTTTGTATGCTCTCACAAAATAAGAGATTTAACATTCTAGTCCATCAAAAAGAAAAGGAAAAGGGGGGGGGGAGTGTGTCACATTTTTGTACTATTTACTTATTTGAGCCCGAAGGTCAGGCAATCTTCAATCAGGTTCTATTCAGCAAATATAAAACCACCACTATCTGAATGTTCTATCACCTATGGTATTTCAAAGGGAAGGGCTATTGTAAAGACTTTATGTATGACTGACAAGGGAAGATATGGAAAATATCAATTCTCAGTGTGCAAACTGTGACAGATATGTGTCCCCTGAATATCATTCACAGTTCTTCAAGAAAGACTCAGGTAATGAGTTGACAGGGCTCTAAAGTGGCCTAATTCTTTTTCCTTTTAACAGCCTTTTTGAATGTCAATCATGATGTTCATAGGTCCTCAATAAATTGTGAGGTGATGTAGGGGGAAATTAAGAACAGAATTTGTTTAAAAATTCTCCCATACCGTGACTACTATTTGCTAAGAACTCTTAACATTTACTGGGCAAACAATTTATTTTCTATTTTACCATCTAAGACTTTGTAATAGCTTTTGTGTCATTGTGGCACTAATCTAATTTGTCTTCTTGCATAAATTTTCCTAGCAGTGTTTCTGTTTGGATATAGGCACTGAGAAAGTAGAGGTTACACTTCAAGGTAATTCCCCTCCCCCACACCACATTTAGACATTTGACAAATAAGAATACAGCTTAAAATTGTTGGTACATAATAATTTAACTGGCTCCTTTTTTTTCTTTCTTAGCAATACATAAATTATAGAATGCCTTACAATTGATGATAGTTTGGATTCAATAAAATATAGCTATTGCTAATACACACTGAGAGTTTTTGTGTTATCTACAAAAGCTGATAATTTTTGTAAGAAGAAATAAACCATTGCCAAAATATCAATTTAGTGTTAATGAGCTTGATATCAATGAGATATTTTCTAATATATCTGGAAAAAGAAACTATATATCTATAAAACAGTAACATAATAATTAAATAAAACACCACCAATGATATAAAAGGCATTACTACGTCACTACTTGCCAAGTTATTTTTTCCACATGATTCATCCTTAGAAAACTAAAAAAGACATACAACTAATAAATGACGATGTGAAATATTACTGAATTCCTTTAAAACAAAGAAAAGCTTTTGTTTTTGAAAGCAATGGAATCTACACAGAACAGAAGCTGATTTGGATGAATTTAATGATTTTTCGATTCTCACATAATTTAAACTAAAACAGCCCAATTGTAGTGTACCAATACTAGACAGAATATGCAGTCTAGCTTCACATTTATTATGCCTTTACACTCCTTTTACTATGCCTTATAAGTTGGTGAGGGACAGTAATTTCTATTTAATATTAGCTAGTGGAAAGGATACTTATTTGCGTAAATTAGTTTGGCTGCTTTCTATCTATTCAAGAAACAAAAGAAGTTTCAACTTTCCTTTTATCTAAAAGCAACAAGCTACATCATAAAATCTTCATTGGATGACCTTAAAATTTGTCCCCAATACTAAAAAAGGTTGTGTTTTTAACTTAATTTTTCTTCATATAGTATGGATGACAAATTGATCTTTTTAGCCTACCTATGACCCTATGACAAACAGTTGTGTACACAGGCAATACCTACATGATACTAATATGATCAAGTTAGTGAAAAAATCAAACTGACAGTAGTCAATTAGAGTCTCAACTTAGCAGACTAAGAGTTTGTTTTAAAAATATAAATTTGTGGTAAAGATAGTAAAAATAAGTAATAGTAGTGTCAAGCATGGAAGACTAACCATTATCACATAAGTCCATGGAATTTAATTTAGTGTATTTTCCTTTCATATACAATGTAATGTAAACACAAAGTAAAAGTGCTAATTACTGAAACTCAGTTTAGTGTTCTATTGAAGCACAACTTTCTTAACCTTCAAATTTTAGACTTTTGTTTTGCAAAACATTCAAAGACAATTGAACAGTTCAATCAAGCTATCACTCATACTCTATTCCTATTTCAACATCCCCAAAATGAACTGTTTGGAATTTTTCTATGATCAGAAACAAAAGAGATTTTCAATATAAATAAAATTATTCAAATACATAAGAAATATTTTAAGTGACTACTAACGATATATTTTTTTTCACTGTGTCCCTTGGCTGTAAGAAAATAGATAATAGATAGATATCATCACAAGAATAATGTCTGCTATTTGTATTATGTACAATGATTCTTGGAGCACAAAACAGGTTTATCAAAGATATACATGGAAAAGTTAATATCAGTTGGCATTTCTAAAAGTCAGCCAGAGTAAATGAAAGATGACTTCCAGCTATAGTGAAATAAATTAAATTTTAGAAGACTTAATATACTGATTCTCACTTGAATCACATTGGTTACCATCAAAGTGCTTATAATATGCGTATCACTTATCACAAACTCAAAGTTTTTCAGTGCAACTTGTTTTCCATAATATTCACAAAGTTTATTCAGATATTGTAATTTAATGTTATTTGTGCCATAATTAATTTCATAAATGCTTTTGAGTATGAACATTTCAAGGAACTTTTTTTAAAAAATATGGAACGTAAGCAGAAACATTTTGAATAATGTGATTGATCCTGATTTCCCAAAAGCAATTTTTTTACAGTGAAAAAGTATAGCTGTATTTTGGTACTGTAATACCATTAGATTCCACCACTAAAATATTTTAATATAATCATAATTATCCTTTAATATAATCACAATTATCCAAACACAAAACATGAATCTCTTAAATCAAGTGGTAAAAAATGGTCCTTACTGCAAAATCCTCTCTCCACTGGTGGGCTGCTTGAACTTTCTCTGCTTCCAAAGCCAGGCGCTGAAAAGGAAACAATAAATCTTAGAATTCCAATGACCACACGAATACATTATTGTTATATAGAATCCTTGGGTTTTCAAATCAATTGTGAGGACATAAAAAACAGAAGAGACTCCTTTTTTATGATTCATAAATGCTAAATCATTTAGTAATCTAACTTACTAAAGTTGATATACAGTATATGTATTTACGCTTTAGTAATATACATAACATGCTATTCTTGAATATCATTAGGTTCACTACCTCTACTATCATTGGCAGCAGTGTCCTCTCCAAAAGCTTTCTAGCAAAGAACAACACTTCGGTTTTTAGGAAAAGCTTTAATCAGTAGAGGATTCTTATCTTGGTAGATTGTTTTTATAGCACATGTTTCTATATAAATGGAAAGGAAATGACATTGAAAGGTCAATAAACATGTGCGAAGCATTGTAGTAGGCACCTTGTTAATAGCATATTTAGTTTTGGGACGCTTTTTTGGCCAAAATCCATGACAATGTAATAATTACCTCCTTGCTGAAGTACATTCTTAATAGTCCTTTCAGAGATAGTCTGTGAGTAGCAGAAAGCTGTCACAACCTGCACATCTGAAAATGGCTGTATTTTACCTTCACTCTTGTATATGAAAGAAGCTAGAAAACTCTAGGCTGACTTATTTTCCTTTAGTGCTTTTAAAATGTTATTCCTTTAGTTCTTCTGGAAATAAACTGTCTATGGTGGTTCTGTTCATCGCTTTTTGTAGATAAATTCTTCTTTTTTCCTCTTTAATAGTTTTTAGACTTTTCTCTTTGTATTTCCCAGTGTCACTATTATGTTCTCTGTGTAATAAGCTTTTACAAGAGACAAGAACACTTAGTGACTAAGCACACAGATACGAAAGCGAACAGCCTGGGTGTAAATACCAGCCCTGCTGCGTCCACATGTGCAAACTTGGGAAAGTTAGGTTTCTTCTCCAGTTTTCTCATGTGAATAATGTGACACTCTGCCTCATGGATAGTTCAAAAGATTAAATGATGTATTACATATAAAGTGCTTAGAACAGTGCTTGGCAGGCAGTAAGCAATATATGCAACAGCTGCCTAAATCTGAAGAGTAATTATGATTCTCTTTACACTCTTGTGTCATTTGAGAAACTAGCTCAGTGCTTACTTCTGTGGCCTGACCCCCAACCTGCTAGAACACAGTGGCAGAAATAGGGCAAGAACAACATCAAATATAATACATGTGAATGTATTAAACTCATTTATTAAGAGAGATCAGGTTAGGTTTTAAAAAAGTATAAATCTCAGTGTTTAATTGATTCATGTGTTTACTCTTTCACCATGAACTATGTATGCTTCAGTGTGTGCTCTTCCTAGGTAAGTCCAGACAACCCTGGATAATGGAAACACTCTTTCAGGGCAGATTTTATGTTAGTATATCGGCTTCTATCCCCTGCTACTTAATACTGTAATCTGTTCATTTTTATAAACCATTATGTAAGTATTATCCATGACTACAAAATATTGCTTAATGGGGGATCTTAATTTAAGAATCCCTAAGCGGAATTAAAAAGAAAATTGTCTAGCATGTTTACATGACAAAGGTCTCAGCTGTCAGTTACCAGCCAGAGACAGAGTATAATAGAAGCTGGTAAATGTTAGAAATTGTAGCAGGGAGAGTGACCCCAAAAAAGCTTCTTTAGCCCTACAAAACCCAAAAAACTAAACAGAGCAAAGCCAAAAGTAGAGTGAGTACGTTTCAGTGATGTTATATCACCCTGCTTCTAGAAACTCAAATTCAGTGTAAAAATGTAGCCACCAGGGACTAAAATGGCAAATAAATGGAAGCAATCTCTTTATAAGAAAACTCCAGTATGAGAAGATAAAGACAGACAGAATGAGAAAATAAACAGGAAGGCATATTCTCGAGAAAACTCAATGTGTAAGTCTTCCCTCATTTTAACAGATGATATAAGATCATATGTATGTGGCAAATAATAAGCTTGAGCATTTTGTGAATTTAAGCAAAATACTAGATAAATATAAATAAGTTAATTTTTTTTTTTACATTAAGAAATATTAAACTCTAAAATGTCTATTTGTCTTGGAGAGGCATGTTAAGATTTTTTTCTTTCACCATGCACAGAAGGAGGAAACCAACACGACACACAAAACACACTGTGGGATATTCAGCCACAGGGAAGTGCAGTTTTCAAGGCACCGGCTCTGGCTCGACCATGACGTTCCACAGAGCACATGAGAAAGCACACCTAACCCATGTGATCCAGAATCGCGTGGCTTATGACATGGGTATAATCCATGACTAATAAGCCATAATGACAGCAATCATCAGCTTATTTCTAGAAAAACATCAGAGGGATGAACAATGGCAACTAACTAACTATAAGACAATTTTAGAGGGAGGGAGGAAAGTCCAAATCAACTATATATATGTATATGTGTGTATACACACACACACACACACACACATTTTAAACACTAATTTCATGAAGCAAATGTCATTTGTTACAAGATTCAGAAATTGTTTTAGAAACATAAAGACAAAGAAAGGGGGGAAAGTGCATTTTAAAAGGTTGATTTGAAGCTCAAAAGTTGCCAAATTTTATATCCCCAGCTATGAAATGTAAGAAATACATAGTTATGAAATGCACTACTGCTATCTTCTTTGTTCATGAAGAAATTCATGAATGATTTTTTTTTTATCTAACAAATTTCATGATAAAGCATAATACTGAACTTTAGATACTTAAATAGTCTATCTTGGGGACTAACACAAATAGTTGTTGATAATTCTCTTTCTTGTGGCAAAAGACCAACTAGTTGTGACTTACAGCAAACTGACAGGTCTTCTGAAGACCTCAAATCCCTAATTAATTTCCATTCTGATCAAGCGACAGGTTTTTTGTTTGTTTGTTTGTTTGTTTGTTTGTTTTTAAGTCAATGATTTAACACATGTCAACACAGACAAATACGTTAAGACTGATAAAATTTCTACCTAATAAAATATAAATATTTGTTTGGTAGAGCATTCCTGTTTCTATGGTTGGCTATATAAGTATACCCTGTAACAATAACTTACTTCAGAAAAAACGAAAATGTATTTTTCTCATTTAATCTATAGTAATAGTATCAAGTCATTGAAATCAGAGCAAACACTTGATAGAAACAAAGAACCCAGCTCAGCATAAATACCTAGGAAAGAAACCTAAAATTTAATTCTGCTCATATTAAGATAACATCACTAGTTATTCACAGGATACATGAAAACAAAGTAGTATCCAAACCAAAACGCTGGTGGAAAACTATTTCCGGTTAACGAGAAATTTCCCAGCAAATTTTTAGAAATTGCTAAAGACTAAAAAACAAAATAAGCACAAAAATTGTATGTCAGTTTGAGAAATGACTTTACAGAGGTCTTGCCCTCAAATCTTGAGAGAACATTGCTAATCAGAGAAAAAGCTTTTGATATGCAGAAAAAAAATAGAGAATGGGAGAGGTTTTATCAGATCAGAGAAAGATCAGCTCCCTTGAAGCCTTATTCATTCCAACCTTCACTTTTTGTCATATCTTTATCTCTTCCACTAGCATTGAATTCTGTCAGGTGATATGAAAGCCTAATCAGAGCAGTAAAATTATGTAGCGTATAAGAAAATATTTCTATCACTCTCTTTAACAATACTTAAATATATTTTCTCTTGGAAATAGACAATTTTCAAAACCTGTAAATAATTTGCTTCCTGAGCTGTAAGTTTATTGCTAATGAAAGATAAAATAAGTTTTCTGAAATACTTAATTATAAAGAATTTTCTTTTGATAACTTTGAAAGGAAACCTTCAGGGATCATATGACAGTTCAGTTAAGACTGATACCATTGATACAAATGTTAATCAAGAATTCTTAGAAACATAATTCAAAGAAACATCTCTAATTCAAAACAATTTCTTTGGCTAGTGTATGTCAATGTTTTTCCTTCTAATAAGAAGTTAATAGAGCTCCACAATAGACTAATCCAAGTAAAATATGCATGTTACGTGATTATTGTTCAAATAATGAACACTCAATAAGGATTAACAATTCAATATATTATACCTATGTTGACAACTTTTTTAATTACTCTAATGAATTGTCTATCTTCTTCCGATGTTCTTAAAATAGCCAAAGGGAAAAAAAAAACAGGATAACCAATTGAATGGTCTAACAATACCTATTGAAAACAGAAGATTTAGATGAATGAACCGACTTCTATGGTTTGAAGAAAAGTTTACAGGTACAGTACAATCAATTTTGGAGCTACAGTATAATGAGCATGCACTTCTAAATTAGACAGACCTGGTTTCTAATTCTGGTGCTGCTGTTATTCACTAACTATGAAATTTTAGGCAATGGACTTAACATTTTTCAGCATCTAAAAATAATATCTACTTCAGATATTTCCTATTTGGTATGCTAAATATGTAGCACATTACAAACTCAATAACATTTTGCTTCCATTTGAATTTTACAACATAACTTCATAGAATATACTACGTTAGAACTATAATAACTGTACCCACTTCAAGAGGTATGAGTGAAATAAATGAAAACATCTTAATGGTCCCTAAATTTTCATTGTATTTTGCCCTACAGAAAAGCCCTCATCTGTAGAACCATATGATGGTCCCAAAGCACATGCCATTCAGGGAATATAACAGTTTAATATAGCGGTCAATAAAATGAGGTCAATTTTATTTTATTTTTGCTATAAATGGAATGAGAATAGAGAGATAATTGTGAAATATAAAAAAATACTGAAAAGCATAGAAACAAATAGTTTAGAACCCATCACCCAGAATTCATCTTTATCTTTTTAAATATTTTCTTAACAATTGTTTGTACAAAATATCACTAATAACCTTGAAGCTCACTTTATTTACCCCCTTTTACCAATTTCCCTACCCATAGCAATAATTATAATTAATTAGTCTGTATTCTTTGACATTGTTTGGGGTGTATTTTTTCAAT